ACCACAACACCCAAATATAACTCTCCCAACTTCCACCTCAGAAACTATAATTGTTGTAAACTACAGCGGTTCAATATTTTCTAGGAATAGACTAACTTAGTTTATTCAGCTAGCTAACTTGGTACAGTATTCTTCCGTGAAAATCGTCCAGGGCACCTAGTCATAAGACGCCACAGCCAGCTAGCATGCCGGACTCCAACAACACGGTTTAGCACCAATCCTCGGCCACAACAAACCACCAGTGTGTCAACACGCCAAGCAGATCGTTCGTGTCCGTGTCTAACGTTGTGGGTTAGTCCTGACAGCTTGAGCGAGTCCGTCGTCAACTTATTCAGCCAGTTAGTTAGCTAGAATAGTTAGCATACTAGCTAGCCATTGCTTTCAGACAAAGAAGAAACCCCTCCTTTCACGGCACGAACACACAGAGTGAGCCAAGCTAACGTTAACTAGTCACCCATGTCCCGTATTCCTTGAACGACTCTGGCTTCCAATATGTAAAAACAAAACACAAATGTAGGTTATAACTTACCCCTAGCAGCTACTGTTAACTAGCCAAGTGCAAAGCTAGCCACTGAATTGACTCAGCCAGTTTGCGTCTGTTCGCTAGGTCGTTCCAGCTATTGTTTACTAGTAGCTATCCAGGTAGCAACAAGCTAGCTAAATTTCAAGCACAGTAGCCACTGTGCTTCAAGTTGGATGGGTTCTGCTGGTGTACAGCAATCTTTAAGTCAACCACAGATTCTCAATTGGATTGAGGTCTGGCTTTGACTAGGCCATTCCAAGACATTTAAATGTTTCCCTTTAAACCACTCGAGTGTTGCTTTAGCAGTATAATTAGGGTCATTGTCCTGCTGGAAGGTGAACCTCCGTCCCAGTCTCAAATCTCTGGAAGACTGAAACAGGTTTCCCTCAAGAATTTCCCTGTATTTAGCGCCATTCATCATTCCTTCAATTCTGACCAGTTTCCCAGTCCCTGCTGATGAAAAACATCCCCACAGCATGATGCTGCCACCACCATGCTTCACTGTGGGGATGGTGTTCTCGTGGTGATGAGAGGTGTTGGGTTTGCGCCAGACATAGCGTTTTCCTTGATGGCCAAAAAGCTCAATTTTAGTCTCATCTGACCAGAGTACCTTCTTCCATATGTTTGGGAAGTTTCCCACATGCCTTTTGCCGAACACCAAACGTGTTTGCAAATTGTTTTCTTTAAGCAATGGCTTTTTTCTGGCCACTCTTCCGTAAAGCCCAGCTCTGTGGAGTGTACGGCTTAAAGTGGTTCTAGGGACAGATACTCCAATTTCCACTGTGGAGCTTTGCAGCTCCTACAGGGTTATCTGTGGTCTCTTTGTTGACTCTCTGATTAATGCCCTCCTTGCCTGGTCTGTGAGTTTTGGTGGGCGGCACTCTCTTGGCAGGTTTGTTGTGGTGCCATATTCTTTATTTTTAATAATGGATTTAATGGAGCTCCGTGGGATGTTCAAAGTTTCGGATATTTTTTTATAACCCAATGCTGATCTGTACTTCTCTACAACTTTGTCCCTGACCTGTTTGGAGAGCTCCTTGGTCTTCATGGTGCCGCTTGCTTGGTGGTGCCCCTTGCTTAGTGGTGTTGCAGACTCCGGGGCCTTTCAGAACAGGTGTATATATACTGAGATCATGTGACAGATCATTTGACACTTAGATTGCACACAGGTGGATTTATTTAACTAATTATGTGACTTCTGAAGGTAATTGGTTGCACCAGATCTTATATATGAGCTTCATAGCAAAGGGGGTGAATACATATGCATGCACCACTTTTCCGTTATTTATTTTTTAGAAACAAGTTATTTTTTTCATTTCACTTCACCAATTTGGACTATTTTGTGTATGTCCATTACATGAAATCCAAATAAAAATCCATTTAAATTACAGGTTGTAATGCAACAAAATAGGAAAAACGCCAAGGGGGATTAATAATTTTGCAAGGCACTGTACGTGTGGTCTCAATGAAATAGAGTAGGCTGCATATGCATGCGCAGAGATTCAATGGCAGTTTTTTTTTCATTGTAATCCAATTAAATATGATTAGACTACAGTTTACTACAGTGTCTGTAAATAAATATTGATAATGGAAAGAAGTGGAGGGCGTTCAACCAACGTGAGTCGAGGTGCAATAAAAAAAGGTGATAATTGAAAATGAAAATCCGCAACCCACGCATAGGCTACCATGGTGAGCGAGAATTTATTTGTCTGTGCCTGCAAATCGTCCTCCTAAAAGGTAGGTTATATCCTATATGCAAAACGTAGCTCAAGAGAAAGTGCAAGTATCCGCTCTCATCATTCTTTCTGCTTCAAGTTCAGTAGCCATACATGCGAGATCATGTGCGCATGTGGTCTCAATTAAATAGAGGAGGCTATAGCCTATGAATGGCGGAGAAGCACGGGGCAGTTATCTTTCCAAGGAAATGTACTTTCTATATATGATTAGGCTATAGTTTACTACATTGCCTAGAAATACATATTGATCATCCATATATTTGTCTGAAAATAGTCTCACTCCTAAAAGGTAGGCTATAAAACGTAGCTCAAGATAAAGTGCAAGTCTCTCCAACTCCGTTCTCTTCAAACTATGTCTAATCTATTGGCTGATATAGCCCAGTAATAGCCTAATATAATTGGCCACGTGAGAATCTCTGGTAATTAAACCTCTTAGGTTATTTTAGCGCATTTTGATATTGCCTGTAGGGCTTAAAATTGCTGGGACCATGGCATCCAAGTGAGCTGCGTCACATACCCCTAAAATAACATTGCAGGACTGCGGTTGGGGATCGGGACCAGTACTTGCGGTAGCGGGTGGGAGTCGGACAGAAAGCCAGCGGTGTTAGCGGGGTGTGGTATGAAGAGCGGGATGAATAAATCCGTCCCGCTCATACCTCTAAACCTGGGTGCACTGGGTTGATACTGGGAGTGGAGCGTTTGGCAGTCTTTGCGGCACGGCGGATCTGTTTATTGTTGCCAGTGACGGTTTCCACAACCTAATGGGAGCGACACCCTGCTAATGATCTGAGTGTGTATAAATCCACGTTTGCAGTCAGCGGACACCACACCGCCACATAAAAACGGCGGCCCAATGCAAGCCAAACAACACATTGGGCCAAGCTGCAGTTTTTGGTTTTTTATTTGTTTTGTTCTCTCTACTTCTCCTTCTGTCGGTGTCGAGGTAAAGAACCCCCAATAAAATAGCCTGCTCTCTCCCAGCGTGAGCCTGCTTCCTACAGCCTTAATGGGAGGTGTAGGTGAAATGGACAATTTGAATCTGACAATGCAGCGGAGTGGCTTAATAAGCACTTCTAAGGGCCCTGGTCCCTGGCCTCGCCTGCTTGCCTGCCCTTTGTTGGCAAATTAAAAGGACATGGGACATGTAATGTAATTACATCCACTAGGGTGGGGGGAGTGAGGGGAGGGGGGCTCTGGTTACCCAGTGCAGGGAGAGGGGGCCGACGGAGGGCCTGAGCCTGGCTGGGGGACCTCCTGGGCCACCGCAGTTCAAGGCAGAGGGGAGGTTCCCCCACACCTCACCACACACACCACACACACCCTGAGCGATGAGTGAGAAGTGGAGGGAAAGGGAGTGAGGCGGTGACGGGGTTCCTTTGATCTCCCAGTGTGGAGAGATATCCGGGCCCTGGCCCCCTTGGCTCAGAGCACTGTGCTGCACTGCGCTGCTGCCCTCCTTTGGTGTGTGATTGACGGTTGCATGGGGGGCATGCTGAGGCCTTGAGTAATCCACTCTAATAAGAGGTAGGAAATGGCCCTCCACCTCCAGCCTGCTCTCCAGCCTGCTGCTCTCCACTCTGATCCAGCCTCCGGGGCTGCTCTACTGCCTCAGCTGGTCGTAGGGGCTTGGGGAAGCTGTGGATGTCAGTGGAAGAATGCTTGGATTCTGGGACGCAGATCTTTTTCTTCTGATTTGGAGGCCTTGTGTGGAGATAGAAGGTAAAATGCTTAATGAATCCAGGGGTGTCACTATATACAGTACAGTCATGTGCTTTTGGCTCGACTTCACTGGTGGCTCTTTGCTAGTCATGCCACTCTGAGACATGACGTGGCCACAGTGACATGGAGAGGGGCTTGTTTCCTCTCATATTGGGTCTGTTCTAGGCTGATCTGAGAGCAGGCGTCACTCTGCAGTCTGCAACTGACAGCACACAGATCCATATCAGCTATGAGATGAGGAGCCATCCCTCCCAGTCTGCTCCCTCTTCTCCTCCCTGACCTGCACCCAGCCATAAAGCCGTGAATCCTCTATCTGAGACACTGAGCAGAGCTCTCCCTCTCTTACTTTCTCTCTCACACTTTCTTTCTCACTCTCTTTTTCTCTTGCTGATAAGAGACTTGCTTTCTCTTTCCTGCTCTCCTCTAGCCTCCTCTCTCTCTCTCTCTCTCTCTCCCCTCCTCTCTCTCTGCGGCCCCCCTTTAGAGATCATTACTGGAGACTGTGGTGGTTCTGGCTGCAGGTCCTGGGGTTAAACAGTTACAGGCTCTCTCCTGTGACCCGTGGCCAATAGGCTTAGTCCTCTGCATGTCGGCCTGAGAGGAGAGCCCCCGTGTGAGGTGGGCTCTGGGCACTGCTCTGCTCTGCTCTGACACCACGGCTGCCCTGGCCTGCCTGATCCCACTCCCAGATACCCCACCACTTCCTAATACTCTCATTCAGTCACTTTAAAGTGATAGTTCACTCCAAAATCAAAGTTTGTCAGACATTTCAGACCTCAAAAGTTGTCTATAGTTAAATTACTTAACAAAATAATAGACATGCATATTATGTATTTAAAGTGGATAGTTAAGATGATCCGTGATGTGTATGTTAGCATCTGAATGATACTAGTGTTTAGTTGCTTTCCAATCATTTTGTACATAGCATGTATAAGCATTTAACCTCTCTGACAGGTTGGGCTCCAAACCCAGGAAGCAATTGAGACAGCATGCTTGCCCAACATTTCCATCTTTATAAGAGAATGCCTCTAATAAATGAATGTATTGTTCCAGCTGTTTTGACTGTGGATAACTCTGTGGTGGATTTGGAGACCATTGAGGCTTTATATGAAAATGTGAGTATTCAGAAGTGTGTTGTAAAGTCATCCAAAAGCATGAGAGAAATGTGAGATGCCAAATTCCTTTTTAAAGGTCCAATGCAGCTGTTTTTATCTCAATATCAAATCATTTCTGGGTAACAATTAAGTACCTTACTGTGATTGTTTTCAATTAAAATGGTCAAAAAGAAACAAAAATAGCTTCTTAACAAAGAGCAATTTCTCAAGCAAGAATTTTGCTAGGACTGTCTGGAAGTGGTCTGAGTGGGGAGGGGAAAACTGAAAATTAGTTGTTATTGGCAGAGAGGTTTGGAACTCTCTTTTTAATTGGTCTATTAACTAATTTACCGCCGAAACAGGCACCAATTTCCGGTGGTCTTTTCAAACAGCTCTTACACTAAAAGGGCATTATCATCATTTTCACAATTTCATACAATTATTCCAACCTCATAGTGTGGAAATATATATAAAACGCAGGAAAATCACGCTTTTGACTGCACTGGGCCTTTAAGTATTTTTCTCAGCATGCATTTGTTAAAACTACACCAGGGTTCCATAACATCTGCTAGCCTACAGCTCATTTCTCAATGATGTCACACTCAACATTTGTCTATTGTTATTCTGTCTTGTTTTGCGTTGACTATGTCTAAATCGTTCATTGTTACAGCTCTATTGTTGTCCTCTAATCTGTCCTGTTTGTGTGTGATCACAGAGGGCCTCTAGTGATGAGCTGGAGAAGATAAAAAAACACTATGAAACATCCCAGGAGGACGAGGTGAAGCTACTGGACAAACCTGAACAGTAAGAGTACTTCTCCAGCACCCAAGGGTTCAGGGAGAGGGGTAGTAGAACACTGGACCCTGAATTCTACTGCAGTCAGAGAACTAGAACCTGATACACACAGAGAACCGTCCCCTCCAGTGAATTCACCACGTCAACACAATTTCAGAGGCAACTTTGATTTTGGCTGAGAGGTTTTTTAGAAATGCATCATGTGGTTTTTAATGTGTACAGCCAGAGACAAACAGTTTGATTTTGAAACACTTTAGTATTTGGCAGCCTGAGGCTCACTCGTCATATCGAGTGGTTCTTTAGAGCCAAACCATTATAGGGAGATATTTAACAAAAACATAACTTAGAAAAGGTGGCATCACTTTTGTGTTTATTTCTCTTTTAAGAAGTAAATAAACCAAGCTCCTTAGTGTTGCTCAGACAGTAAATATGTGTTCCTGGTCTGTTTTGCAACCTTTGTGTATTTAGCACTGAGGGAATGGGCTTCTCCATGATCTGAAAGCTCCATGGCTGGCTGACTGACTCGAAACATGTGCATGTTTGCGTGTGTGTTGAATGTTTGTGTGTCTTACACAGCGTGTGTGTGTGCATGCTTGTGTCCACATGTGTGTGTCTCAGAGTGAAAGAGAGAGATAGATGGCTGCTGGCTCTCAGGGAGGCGTCCCTCCCATGGGGGTTAAACGTAGCTGGCCTGTTAATGACTTGTCACTGTGGGGTTGACGGCCATGTTTGAACAGAGCTGTCACTAGACTGTGAGTCATACCCACTCAGTGTCTGCCTCCATCAGCAGTCTGATCACACAGGATATTACTGCTCTCCTCGGATATGTCCCTGTTTACATGAGTCGGCCTGATGCTACCTTTGATCAATCAGCGCTCTGGCCCTCCTTCAGTTGACCCTGGACCTATCAAACTATCAGAGCAGGACGACTCATGACTATCAGCTGCTAGTTGAAAGCCATACTGACTCAGCCGTGTGTGTGTGGAAGCAGCGCAGCCAAGGATTAAAAATAGTTCTTCCTGTCGGACATTTTGTTTAATTTTGTCATAACACATTATTTCCCCTTGTGCAGGTTCTTGTATGAACTCTCACAGATTCCAGACTTCTCTGGCCGGTCCCACTGCATTATATTCCAGTCTATCTTCCTCGACTCCATGTCCTCCATCCACCGCAAAGTAGAAATAGTCTCCACCTTGAGCAAAGTAAGACATGACATGACTTCAATCTTATTGGTTTGTCAGTGTATGAGCTTATAACATGCTGACCGTGTGTGTGTGTGTCTGTCAGGATCTGCTGGACTGTAGCAGTGTGAAGGATGTGATGGGGCTGGTCCTAGCCTTTGGGAACTACATGAATGGAGGCAACAGGACGCGAGGTCAGGCTGATGGCTTTGGACTGGAGATTCTGCCCAAACTGAAGGACGTCAAGAGCAGGGTACACTCACCACACATGAACACATATTATACTGGTTTTATCTACAGTATACTTTGTGTCTGATCTCTGTATCTTTTAGGACAATCGTATCAGTCTGGTGGATTATGTGGTTGCATACTATCTGCGCAATTTCGACGAGGTACAATATTTATGAACACATTTCCTACAATGGACTAAAAGCTAAAGACTTCTGTTTTTTACTGATGTTTTGTCATTTATGGGTTGTCTGTTGGTTTACAGCATGCAGGAACAGACAAGAGTGTATTCCCACTTCCTGAACCACAGGATTTCTTCCTGGCCGCTCAGGTCAAGTTTGAAGACCTCACAAAGGACATGAGGAAGCTGAAGAGAGACCTGACTGGTAAGATGTGTCATTTCACTCTTTTATAACCAACTCACAGAACACCACCAGGCATGCAGAGAGGCATCCTGACTTATATGTAGTAGGATCCTTATTGTAGATTTTGTCTTCTCCCATGTTTCAGGGTAGATTCAGGATCTCAGACGCTCTGAAGCATATTTTATTTGTTTCCAGACATCGTGTCATGCCTTATCACTCCCCCATATCCCCCAGCCCTGATCATGCTCTCTACTCTTATGTGAGAAATGTCAGTGTCTTCATATTGGCCAAAGCAAGTCTATCTCTCTGAAACGTTTACAGATGATACGAAAGCTGGATGGAAATGCAGTAAATGAGCAACACTCTCATGAGAAACGTGTTCATGTGGCTGGTATCGGGCTCGGTGCTCGCCGGCATGGTCTGCCCAGTTCGCCAGCCAGCTAGTCAGTTAGCCAGTCAGTGAGTCAGCCAGCCAGCCAGTAAGTCAGTGGTCCGCTGGGCCGTCCGGGGGTTAAAGGCGTTGCCCCCCAGCGCCTTGGTGTCTGTGATTATTTAAATCCACCAATAATACGGCATATGAAAGCAATTAGATATGCTCTCCACTCTCCCCTCCTAGTGCAGATTGCTGTTAAACCCTGATCCTCTCTGACCTGGGGGAAAATACTAAGAGTCTACAAAAGAGCCCCAGACCCACCTCAAGCTGTCACTCATTTATTAGGAAAAATGGAAGACTTAAACACAATAAATGTAACATAAGGGCCCTCTTATTTGATCTCTACTGCAGGAAAAAAATGTAACAGTCTCGCCCGGGAGTCCTCGGGGTATTGGCAGGGAATGGTGAGCGTGAATTCTCAGTGTTTGGTGAGGTCCACCTATGACTCCCATTTTTATCCTCCCCGACAGCCGCCAGGAATAAATATTTATGCTGCGCTATTATAAACCACCCTAAAGAAACCAAATGGTCTTAATTATATCAGATCACTTCCATTCACATCTTAATGGTGTCTAACTCAGAGTGGCTGGCGCTAACACTGGATCACACCTCCATGGACTAGAGAGTGTACTGCTGAGAGGAGAAGAGGTTACCGGGGCTGAATTCTACATATGAAAGCAGCTCCTTATCCATGCAGCACTATGGCTGGGGAGTCTCATGATGACTCCTGTTTTACTCTTTGATGCCTTAGTAAGGTTCAGGGATGTTCAGGCAATAGATTTCTCCCTCCATATTCCTCTTCTCCAGAGTGAGGCTCTCCTAAGTAGTCAAGCAGATGTATGTATGTGCGTGTCTGGTCCGAGACGATGCACGGGAGCAGGTCAGACTCCTTGGCCTAGCGGCAGCCCTCTCCTTCACTCCACCGTGCAGAAACATGATCCTCATTTGATCTGCCTTCCTGTTTGGGCAGGAGGTGATGACCTCTCTCTGGGTCTCTCTCTGGGGATAGGGGGGTGGGGGTTAGGGTGAGGGTGCTAGGATCCATCCATCCCTTCTCTCCTGCACAAGGAGCAATGCTACTAAGACCTGCATGTTGCACTGTGTTTTCCCTAGAGTCTTCTGAGGCTGTCCCTTTCTATGTGTCCACAGAGGTGCCTGTCCCTTTCAATGTGTCCACAGAGGTGTCTGTCCCTTTGGGGGCTACAGTACATGTAGATGTTCCTGGAGAGTATCCGTAGTTCACCCAGTCCCAGGGCTCATGTGGGGACAGAGAGGGACCTTTCCTCCCATCAAGGGCAGCGGAGGCCACGGCCACGTAAAGCTCTCTTCAACTGCTGGGTAATTGGGGCGGACAGTGGGGCGGACAGTGAGCCAGGGACGCTACTGAATGAAATAGTATCAAATAAAATAGAACAGTCAGAGCTCATTTACTGCCCAGGGGAGTTTAGTGTTTCACAGAAGGCCTGTGCGGGGTTAGGCATTCATCACCATGGCAAATCAGACAGTGTCTTTATTTTAAATGCCCCTTAATGTCAGGTCGAGGCAAGGCCTTTACCCTGAAGCCAGTTTTACGACAGAGGCTCCAGTTGGAATTCCATGTGTGGAGTCGTTGGGGTAGAGTACCGCCACCTCTCCTCCCCAAACAACAGTTAAATATAGGCTCCTCAGCTTGCTGAAATACAGGCGCAAGATGCAGGGAACATGCGGAGGGTGGAGAATACATTTACTTTTTTTAAGGGGGGGGGGGGGGGGGGGGGTAGATCATCTATGAAATTAGTAGATAGAATTTAAGTCTATCCAGTAACATTACTTGCATCATTTTTAATCCCCTTTTTATTATGTCCCTACCCCCTCTCCCCTGGTTGGAGCACTTGGTGGAAAACATTACAATTCTAGAAATATATATATCAATCAATCAAATGTATTTTTAAAGCCATTTTTACATCAGCAGATGTCACAAAGTGCTATACAGAAACCCAGCCTAAAACCCCAATCAGCCAGTAATGCAGATGTGTGTGTGTATATATATATATATATATATATATATATATATATATATATATATATATACACTACCATTCAAAAGTTTGGGGTCACTTACAAATGTCCTTGTTTTTTAAAGAAAAGCATTTTTTTTGTCCATTAAAATAACATCAAATCGATCAGAAATACAATATATTGTTAATGTTGTAAATGGCTATTGTAGCTGGAAACAGCAGCTTTTTTATGGAATATCTACATAGGCGTACAGAGGCCCATTATCAGCAACCATCAGTCCTGTGTTCCAATGGCACATTGTGTTTGCTAATCCAAGTTTATCATTAGAAAACCCTTTTGCAATTATGTTAGCACAGCTGAAAACTGTTGTGCTGATTAAAGAAGCAATAAAACTGGCCTTCTTGAGACTAGTTGAGTATCTGGAGCATCAGCAATTGTGGGTTCGATTACAGGCTCAAAATGCCCAGAAACAAATAACTTTCTTCTGAAACTCATCAGTCTATTCTTGTTCTGAGAAATGAAGGCTATTCCATGCGAGAAATTGCCAAGAAACTGAAGATCTCGTACAACGCTGTGTACTACTCCCTTCACAGAACAGCGCAAACTGTCTCTAACCAGAATAGAAAGAGGAGTGGGAGGCCTCGGTGCACAACTGAGCAAGAGGAAAAATACATTAGAGTGTCTAGTTTGAGAAACAGATGCCTCACAGGTCCTCAACTGGCAGCTTCATTAAGTAGTACCCGCAAAACACCAGTCTCAACGTCAACAGTGAAGAGGCGACTCCGGGATGCTGACCTTCTAGGCAGAGTTGCAAAGAAAAAGCCATATCTCAGACTGGCCAATAAAAGATTAAGATGGGCAAAAGAACACAGACACCGGACAGAGGAAGATTGGAAAAAAAGTGTTATGGACAGACGAATCGAAGTTTGAGGTGTTCGGATCACAAAGAAGAACATTTGAGAGACGCAGACCAAATGAAAAGATGCTGGAGGAGTGCTTGATGCCATCTGTCAAGCATGGTGGAGAATATGTGATGGTCTGGGGGTGCTTTGGTGGTGGTAATGTGGGAGATTTGTACAGGGTAAAAGGGATCTTGAAGAAGGAAGGCTATCACTCCATTTTGCAACGCCATGCCATACCCTGTGGACGGCTCTTGATTGGAGCCAGTTTCCTCCTACAACAGCACAATGACCCAAAGCACAGCTCCAAACTATGCAATAACTATTTAGGGAAGAAGCAGTCAGCTGGTATTCTGTCTATAATGGAGTGGCCAGCACAGTCACCGGATCTCAACCCTATTGAGCTGTTGTGGGAGCAGCTTGACCGTATGGTATGTAAGAAGTGCCCATCAAGCCAATCCAACTTGTGGGAGGTGCTTCAGGAAGCATGGGGTGAAATCTCTTCAGATTACCTCAACAAATTGACAACTAGAATGCCAAAGGTCTGCAAGGCTGTAATTGCTGCAAATGGAGGATTCGTTGACGAATCGAATTGTGAAGGACACAATTATTATTTCAATTAAAAATCATTATTTCTAACCTTGTCAATGACTACATTTCCTATGCATTTTGCTATATTTCCTATTCAAACTCATTTCATGTATGTTTTCATGGAAAACAAGGACATTTCTAAGTGACCGCAAACTTTTGAACGGTAGTGTATATATACACTACAAGTCAAAGGTTTGTACACACCTACTCATTCAAGGGTTTTTCTGTATTTTACAATTTTCTACATTGTAGAATAATAGTGAAGACAGCAAAACTATGAAATAACACATATGGAATCATGTAGTAAAAGGTGTTATATATTTTACATTTGAGATTCTTCAAATAGCCACCCTTTGCCTTGATGACAGCTTTGCACACTCTTGGCATTCTCTCAAACAGCTTCACCTGGAATGCTTTCCAACAGTCTTGAAGGAATTCCCACATATGCTGAGCGCTTGTTGGCTGCTTTTCCTTCACTCTGAGGTCCGATTCATCCCAAACCATCTCAATTGGGTTGAGGTCGGGGGATTGTGGAGGCCAGGTCATCTGATGCAGCACTCCATCACTCTCCTTCTTTGTAAAATAGCCCTTACACAACCTGGAGGTGTGTTGGGTCATTGTCCTGTTGAAAAACAAATGATAGTCACACTAATCCCAAACCAGCTGGGATGGCGTATCGCTGCAGAATGCTGTGGTAGCCATGCTGGTTAAGTGTGCCTTGAATTCTAAAAATATCACAGACAGTCTCACCAGCAAAGCACCCCCACACCATAACACCTCCTACTCCATGATTTACGGTGGGAAATACACATGCGGAGATCATCCGTTCACCCACACCGCGGTTGGAACCAAAAATCTCAAATTTGGACTCCAGACCAAAGGACAAATTTCCACCGGTCTAATGTCCATTGATCGTGTTTCTTGGCCCAAGCAAGTCTCTTCTTCTTTATTGGTGTCCTTTAGTAGTGGTTTCTTTGCAGCAATTCGACCATGAAGGACTGATTCACACAGTCCCCTCTGAACAGTTGATGTTGAGATGTGTCTGTTACTTGAAATCTGTGAAGCATTTATTTGGGCTGCAATTTATGAGGCTGGTAACTCTAATGAACTTATCCTGTGCAGCAGAGGTAACTCTGGGTCTTCCTTTCCTGTGGCGGTCCTCATGAGAGCCAGTTTCATCATAGCGCTTGTTGGTTTTTGCGACTGCACTTGAAGAAACGTTCAAAGTTCTTGAAATGTTCCGTATTGACTGACCTTCATGTCTTAAAGTAATGATGGACTGTCGTTTCTCTTTGGTTATTTGAGCTGTTCTTGCCATAATATGGACTTGGTCTTTTACCAAATAGGGCTATCTTCTGTATACCCCCCCTACCTTGTCACAACAAAACTGATTGGCTCAAACGCATTAAGAAGGAAAGAAGGGTCAACACTGCAAATATTGACTCTTTGCCTAAACTTAATGTAATTGTCAATAAAAGCCTTTGACACATATGGAATGCTTGTAATTATACTTCAGTATACCATAGTAACATCTGACAAAAATATATCATAACACTGAAGCAGCGAACTTTGTGAAGACCAATACTTGTGTCATTCTCAAAACTTTTGACCACGACTGTATATATGTTTATTACCCAATTGACTGGACTCCAAGTGTATCGGCCAATCAATCAATCACTCCAATCTTAATTCCAACCCTCAGATGTCCACAGACTAACCCATCTTTCCCAGTACACTACCATTTTACTCTTTCCTTTTGCAATACTGTACATCCTTCTATGGTACTGTGATGTATTATGAGGGTCTTGAACCTCTCTATTTGTACCATTTATACCGAGATTGCCCTAAAAATAAATACTTTACCTTAGAGTATAATCATATTCCCATTGATTGATAGTGGTTTTTCAGATCTCCTAACAGGACTGTTTCTACGTCCATCTGAACACAGACATTATGACTTAACAACCACTCCTGGACCTGACTCCAAGAGCGACCCACCGAAGGGCAATAGGAGAATACAGTCTTTGTAAACTCAAGACCCACACGTAGGAATATTAAACAGTGTTCAATGATTTATATTATTGAGTCTTGGTAGCAGGCCATACATTGAATGATGATGATGCCTTTTCAACAGATATGTCCATACATTTCTTCACCTTAAGATGAGTACCTTTTTTCCCTCTTAGATATGGAGCCAATTGAAACCAAATATATTGTCTATATATTTGTATGATTTCCTCAAACTATGACCTCACAAGCATTCCCTTACAGCGGAACAGAGCCCAGGGGTGCACTCTAGCTGACACCCTGGACCTTGGAGAACCATGTCTTACAACAATGATTAGTTTCCAGGGCTGTGTGTACACAGTATGTCAGCACTGTGTTCTCAGACAGGCTCTATGTAGGAGGTGGGCCAGGGTTGGATTCTGGATGGGTCCAGGCTGATAGAGATATATTTATCTTAGAGGGAGGAGCTGGTGTCTTACCTTTACAATAAGCCTCCTGGCTGGCCCCATGTAGCATGGGGTTTGGGTCTGGCAACCCTTGAGAATATGGGCATCAAATCATCCTGCCATCATATCTGTCTAATATCGCCACTCTAAACCCAAATAAACCTGTACGGACATCACAGATGTAGAAGTTTTGAACTAGATTCCTCTACATGTATTTGGATACTGAGAATATGTGTGGGCATTTCATGTATTGCTTACATTTCATGATGAGTAATTCTGTGAATTAAGATTAATTTGATCTTGATTTACACATATCAGTCACTTTCCACAATAATTCTGAATCCACTGTCTATGTTGGCTGACCCTGGCTGGAAATGGTAGGGAGCTTCTGTCTGTCTGTCTCCCAGCATGCAGCATTGTGTCTGTGGTGGGAGACAGGTCCCCTGTGACCTGGTGACTGGACAGAAAGCCAGACAGGACAAACAACGCTGACGGCAGCAGTACGGTCAGCTTCTGTCTGACCATGATGTGAACATAGGGTGCCAAACACAATCCTTATAAACTGCTGGCTCTGCTATTTGATACTGTGCCTCAGCAGTTAACTGGTTAATACAGGTCACCGATAGGAAAGCAACCCCCTTGTGGCAGTCATTTGCGACAGAGTTTTTTCCTCTGAAAGAAGAGCCTCAAGTGCAGTCTTTCTCTCGCCCCTTCTCTCCCCCTCTCTCTCCCCTTCTCTCCCCTTCTAAATCTCTCTCTCTGCTGCTGTGCCCACAGAGAAACTGATACGGTTGTTTGGGCACAGAGAGCCCAGATGAACACTCACTGGCCAATTAGAGAACAGCATGGACATATTTACAGTAATGGGATTAGGTGGCTCTGGGCAGAGCAGGCCCCTGAGAGCAGAGCGGGCTTCAGTTGGCCTGTTACAATGTCATAATACTGTTAAACTGTATATCCCCAGGTGACTTCTGCATTAGAAAGAGCTCACTCCCTCCTCCGCCTCTTCCTCCTACCAACCCGCCGTGATTATGCATTGTCACTGTAAGACAATGTCCTAAACCAAAGGCCCACTGGGTTTTTATTTCATGCAGCTGCTGATGTTTTTTGGGCTTCCTTCTTGTGGCCTACGCTGTCTGACCATATTTTGGAGGAGAGCCGTCTCTAAATTTTAGTCTTGCTGTTTTGAACACCCTTTAATGTGCCCACTTGAGACGGGGGTTTTAAGGAGAGGGAGCGAATACTTTTTAAAAAGTAGGATATTTTCAGTCATGTTAGAGCTGTCTCACTTGATCAGGTGTGTGTCATGGTTGCCCCTCAGCTGTGGATGATGTGATTGGAATAGTATCTTTGCTTATTCAAGTAGTGTGCGGTAGTTCAAGTTCCTCAGCTTTCAAGAGCAACTATTCCTCCGACCCTTTAAAAGGATAGTGGGTAACTGGGCATATTCACCTGTTCTTAATACATCCCTCTGGATTGTTCTGGAAACCAGTGAACCAGTCTCAGACTCTGACCAAACAGTGTTCCTGTTGTGTTGTTAAGACATTAAGCGATGCAGTAATAACCAACAGAAGTTATTTACTGCACTTCTTTATGACTTACAGCTTTGAGTAAGTTATTTTGGCAGGCGGCTCTGTATATATCATCCCACATTGATTGTTAGGAGGAAATGAAATAGTTTGGCTCGCGCTCCGTCAAGTCATCGGCCGTTTCCTTTGAGTCCGTGTGAGCTAGGTGGTTTGGCAGGACAACAAAGGCCCATCCAGAGCAAACAACAAACAAGGATTCCACATTCAGCCATCACCCACATGTACAGTTCCATGGTGGAAAGCCAGAACAGGACAGGGCGATCTACTGCCAGCATGTCCCATCTAGCTAGTGGGCCATACACTCAATATGTTACGTGGCTGTTCCAGTATCTGTGGCTTCAACATATTATGTCTTATCTCCTCTCATTTTTTCAGAGTAACAGATTGAACACCCTGCTCCCATGCAAAAGTCTTTGGACAATTGAAGTACAACTATATTTCCATCATCTGTCTATTGAATGTGTTTATGAAGATTTATAATCAATTTCTTATTTTTGCCCCCAGAAAATGGTGTTAAAGCCCCTTTAAAGACTATTACTTGGCTTTACTGATAATGAAACATGATCTCTGTTTCCATTTTGAATGCAGACCAAGCTCATTTAAAGTGATTGCCAGTTCTCTTTAATAGCCATCTGGTTGGGATGTTTTGGAGTAGATTCACACACGTATTTTCCCTCAAATGTTTCCCCTCGGCAGGCTTTGGTTAACTAACTTATGAAAGTGTTGGAAAGGTGATACCCACTCTCACATGTCATTAATTAATGTGCTACATTTGCTGTTTGGGCACGCTAGTTATTGTTTTATACCTTAGCCCAATGATGAGGCTCTGACAATAAAAAACCCATGCCAATTTCACACAGTACACCATAGTACACATTCTACTCTCTCACACTTTCTCTCCTCCACCCACCCCAGGCCAGAGCTTTTTTAATCCATTCCTGCTGAGAAATGTTCAATATTGAACATTTCCTATTTCTCTCTCCCCCAGCGTGTGAAAAGGATGTGCAGAAGGTGTGTGCTAACTCCTCCGAGGAGAACCTCCAGCCCTTCAAGGAGAAAATGGAGGCCTTCGTCTCGACCGGTGAGTAAAACAAACCAGAACCGAAGAGAGGAGGAGACAAGGCCCCATGTGTTGACTACCAGGGGGTGCTATATGTTGTTTTAGTAGATGTTGCTCCAGCAGACTCAGGGGGTTGAAAACATTGCGTGTCACCTAATCCAGGCAGGCAGGGCAGCGAAGGCTGTTTGATCCCCAGTAAGCGAGCTAATAAAGCCAGGGGCCAGAGAGGCTACACTGGGTCTGGCCTGATTGGGTGTTTAGATGTGTTTACACTCCCCTTGGCCTCCACAGGCCACTTCTTCTCTACAGATTGTAATGACAACTCTTGGAAATGAGGATCCTTGAATGTTTGATATCACTCACTGCACCTGAGGCAAGCAGAGGCCTGTGTCAGAGCCCATCCACTGGACTGAGTGATGAGACAACCTTCCCCCTTCTCCTCCCTCCAAATCATGCTCTGTGACACACTCCCAAATTCTACCAGTAGATAGTGATGATATATATTCACCCCCTCTGTCATGTCTCTAAGCCAGCCTGTCACCTCTCTGAATGGAGAATGAACCCACTGTTCTCCAAGTCTGTCTTCAGATATGAAACATTCTCCACATAGACTATTTATTGCTGAGGAGAATGTCAAGTAAAGAAACCAAACTCAGAGAGAAACTAGAGAGGTCCTTTTTTCCTTCCTCCAAAACATTGAGAGGAACCATTAAAGCCCAAAGCTGTAATTTAGCTCTTCTATATATTTTTTTGCCCTGTCAGGCGGTTAGTTGGGTCGTGGTGGAGCCTAGGCCCAGCGTTAGTTAGAGGGGGCTGCCTGTCAGACAGCACAGGGACAGGAGTCTAAAGCCTAACCCTGCAGAGAGGATCACATTGCCCTTAACATGCTGCCTGTACTCATGGCTGCTATAAAGCTGGCAGGACATCTCTGGCTGAGGGCTCGTAAAGGCTGGCTGGAGTCAGTGGGACATTTTGGGGACCACCGTGGCAGCCAGGGACACACTGCACCGAGACAGAGACACTCTGATCCCCTCCACCTCTCCCCCTCCACTATACATCTTTACCCCAGAGCCTTCCCTTCCCACAGCCCCCTCCAGTGCCCTGCAAAGCCAGTCAGTCAGCTAGTAGAGCTGCTTCCATAGAAAACATAAAGCTTATCTACTTCCATCATGCAGAAATTGGCTCCTGTTGTATGCAGCATGAGGAAGTACAGATGTCATAGTGTTCCAATAGAGAAAGTGACATCGATCTCGGAGTGTTCCTCCGTTGGCCAACATGTTCAACTGTGATTACTATTGATCATGGGGATGTGTAAGGGAGAGGAAAGGAGTTTACAGAGACACGCTGTAATCCTTGATTTACTGGAAATGACTGTGTAAATATTCCCAGGAGTTATTGTTCACATAGCAGCAACACATCCGCTCCTAACATGCATTACAACGTGGCATGCAGACAGAGGGAGAGGTGCCTTGTCAGGCTTATACATAGCAGGTACCAGGCTCGTGTCACTAAAGCAACATAATGCACACAGAACCTCTTCCCCATTTGAATGAGTGCCAAATAGGACTCTGCATTTTGTCCCAAACAGTACATAGTGGTGCTTCTGCCAATGTTCTCACAATATTGGACACAGTTCATTGGCTTTAAACGATTAAGATCTCATCACTCTCGCTGTGGGTAAACATAAGTGCAACCAAACAGACTCCAACTCAAAGCAACAACCACCTGCATGCAATCTCGCCACCTTCACCAATTTTACACAGGCGAGGCGAGGGCCTTCACACATTTCTGCATACCACAAAGGGCTACAAAGAGCGGGCTATTAACAAAACACACTGCCTCAGGTCTATAGACCGCTATAGGTCTGATAGAGCATCAGAGTTGGCTTAAAGGGGAGCCACCTCTCTCTCCCTGCCCAACATCTTCAACAATCTCTTATCTCTCCAAAGTACTAGTGACAGACAAAAGTGTCACAAGGCAATCTACGTTTAACTACATTAAAGGGCAAATTACACACATTACTTGCGGCGGACAGAGAATATTGGGAAACAATAAGGTCTTTCTATAAAATATGTAAATGAGGTGTCTCAGAGAGATTGCATCCATATGTCAGGAGGTAGAGAGAGAACTGGAGGCAGGGCAGTGTTTTCAGCATCGAGACGTTTCTAGTTCTGTATTCATTGCAAACAAAGTCTGCCTTGGTATGCTTGTCTCCTAGTTACATATTGCAAACGGAAATGTATTATATACTGTTTATTCCTTTTAACATTCCAGTGTGTCAAACCTGTAGTCTTGGTCAATATCACAGAATATTTGAAAGGTCTTTAAACCATTGTAGTTGCCACTGGCTACAAAATGGTATTGATTTACAAAAACACATCTTGAACAAACTTTCCAGTGGGAAACGTATAATCCATTCTTAATAAACAGAGCTCCTCCAGCAATTGCCCTTACTTGTGAAGCAGCGGGGTTTAGTGCTGGAGACATGTCCATTCCATTGTTCATCTCCTGAGGATGGTACCATGACTTCAATACACAGAACAAAGCAACAGTTATCACACAAAAGGGTTGGGAAGGCTCTCAAAATATTTTATTGGCTATGGAAACAATATTAGTGTTGGCCAGGCGTGCATGGCGTGTCGGTATGCTGGTGGTAGCAATGTCGTCATTGGTATTGATGGACAGCAATAACCATAAGCAAGCATGTGTAGGAAGGGAGCCAGTATGAATTATCTCATACATACTGTATACTTTTTTAATGGAGGAGGGACAGTCTGTTGGTCATAGTGCACTCCATGCTTGCTCCTGTGCGAGGCGGGGGAGCAGAGCAGCTCATGTGACCGTGTCTGTGGAGCGCTGACCCAGAACTGCCTGGGAGGCTGTGTGGAGGCTGTGGGGGCCGGCAGGCTGCTCCCTCTCAGCAGGGCCCACAGCTGAACCCCAACGCCCTGGGCCCTGCCTCGCAAACCGGCTTGTGATCTCACAACACTCCTACAACGCTCCTACAACGCTCCGACAGCTCCAACTCATTGATCCTTTGTCTTGTAAGGCATTACTCTCCCATTACCCGTGACCACCGCTGCTTCCCTTCCATATGTACAGTACTGCTTTTGACGTTTTTGATAGAATGCTGAAATGTTGAGTCCCTAACTTTCAGCAGCACTCAGTTAGCCTATTTATGCAATGCTTCAGCAGTTTGGGAGCAAGTATTTTTCCTCTCCTTCAGAACTGTTTATTAGCGTTGAAACAATGTTTTGTTAGTTTCTTCAAAAACAATGAACCAACCCACCTTTCTGTTTTCACTTTAATAGAAACTCTTTGAATCCTTCAGGGACATTTTTGGGAACATTTTGAGTAGTAAATGCACACCATGACTAATTTAAAACAAATTTCCCCACTTGAATCTTTAGTTCTGTCATGTTTTATTTGTCTAGTGTTCTATGGGCTTTTATGTGTTGTTCAATATGAATGCAATTTCATCCTCAAGCTCTCTTTGTTGTCAATGAATCAGAACCCAGTTACTAATATTCAACTCATCCAAATAACTACGTGTTGAGTGGAAAGTGTCTGTTTAACATCGCATGCCATGTAATCCTTTAACGGCTGAGTTATCCTCATGGGTTGGACTAACTGTGAGGTGTTTTCCTTTATGTTTACTACTGAGAGGTGTCTGGCCCAGGGAGATGTTCCTCCCTCTGGTGTCAACGCCCCAGGGCTGTGACAAGGACACTGCCCTGCAAAGGGTGCAGTCCTTAATTTAAGATGTCTGTCACTGAAGATCTCATTGCACACTGGTGTCCACCAGGCTTCCCAAGTTCCCAACCTTTCCCCACCAGACTATCATGGTCATAATCATCTGGTTGGTCATATTTACACAATCCTGAGCTCTTCACTGTGTTGGCAATCAATGATTATTATGTTGTCTTGGGCAGAGGCTTTGACAACCAGTGTGCTTGTTTGTGCCATGGTAATATATGAAAACCAGCACAACTTAACAAAGTTCAAAGATTAGGGCTGGCAAGGAACAAGGTATATTTATCGTTTCCGAGAACGAGAGATTTATCGACACACACACAAAAACTTTCACACGTACACGTTACAGCTCCTTTTGATGTTTGATTGAGTATGTATAGAAATGGCATACACACATCAAAACATTTTTATAGCATGGAGCTGTAGTCACTGATGCAGTAAAGATTGTGTTTTTTTCCCCAGTAAGGTTCCAGGTCCTTAACACAGCTTATATATGTAGTTTCCTAGCACTTTGTTATCTGACTGCTTGGTAAACCAGTGGTTTGGAAAAGTGTGTCAGAGTTTTAAAGGCCTAATTTATTGTCCTTCTCAGCAGGAGCGTCTCATAACTTCCTAGTTAGCCACTACTGGTTTCATGTTTACACAGGGAGCGGAGGAAGAGAAACTTCACACATCCTCTTTCTCGCTCTCTCTCTCTCTGTGGGCCACTCTCTCTCAGAGCGCCGGCCGGCCTGGTGCCACCTCTACACAGAACCGCACCAGAGAGGACCTCAGGCGCCAGCCTGACCCCCCCGCTGGGACTAACGCCATTGCTCATGGCTCTCCCCCTTCTCCCCCATCCCAGCCATGGCCACCCCTTCCCTTCATTAGGTTTACCTCAGACAATCAGCCTGCTTATGTAAAAAAAAGCAAAGCAAAAGGGGTGGTAGCAGCTTAAGCTGACCCTCTCCCAAAAGACCCCCAAACCTGCCTTTGAACAATTTTTTGGAGACTTCCCCCTCTTAAATCTTCAAGTGGGAAAGGTCCCCCATCATTGTAAAAAGGATGAATCTGGAAAATGCAATAAATCTGAGATCACAGGCACTCTCTGGCCCTAGATAAATTCTTGCACCTCGCCCTGGCCCGCCGAACACATCTGCCTTGCATTTAGACACTTTTACATGGCAGGAGTCCACAGGAGCCTCCAGTTCCCAAGCCTCATACACTCACTCCTCAGCCCTGCGCTGTGCTGTGCTGCCTGCGCCCCTGCTACGCACCTCTGCCCCTCTCCCCTCCT